ACGTAAAAGTGGTCTTCCTTCCTCCCAACACTACGACATTAATCCAGCCCATGGACCAGGAGTTGATATGCAATGTGAAAGCTGCATACTCTGCAAAGAAGTTTAAGCTCCTGAACGACTGTACCAACACCAAGGATGAGTTGCGTAAGCTGGGTGACACCGACAGCGAGAGCAAAAGCAACGAGGACAAGGAACAAGAGGTGGCGACTCAAGAAGTTCTCGTCAAACAGTTTTGGAAAAAAATTTAACGTCAAACAAGCTGTGGACTTCTTGGTGTAGGCATGGGATCAGCTGTCTGTAGCTACGATTCGTCACGCATGGAGGCATGTGTTGCATGGTATCCCAGGTGAGAGGCGGAGTCAACCTGTGACTGGTGAGGTTCAGTCTGTTACAGTGGCATTGGACCTTGCAAGAGAAGCTGCGCACAGGATTACAGCTGAAGGCTTCTCCGAGACCACCAACGAAGACATCCTGGAGGTGATCAGAGATCCTGAAATGACTGCCGACGAGATGTTGGAAGATGATCACGTCAGTGAAGAGGCAGGTGGTGCGTCAATCCCAGAAGAACACAAGTTAACGCATAGTAATGTTTAGGGTGCCATCGAGTGTGCAGAGAAACTGAAGCTCTTCCTTTCCAACGACCCTGACGATGACCGCTATGAAGTCTTCCATACCCGGCTGGTGCAGGCTATGGAGCCGTACATCAAGGTGTATCAAGACAACATCAACACTAGCAGTCAAAAAAGCATTACCGAGGTTTAGTGGTTTTCAGTAGGCTTTAAGTTTTTATCTTAAATAATATCTCAGACTAAAGTTAGGAGAATATAATTTGCATTGCTGGAATCCTTGCATGACAGCGAATAATTTGAATATAAGCGTCATATATTTTGCACAAAAGATAAAATTTTTGCTCTCTGTAATAAAATTCTAAAATTAGATCTAAAATTTGTATGTCTAATGCAAATTATAGCTTGTTTATATTCAAATTAGTCACTATCTTATAAGAATTCCAGCAATGTAAATTATATTCTCTCCGGTCATTTCTATGCAATTTTATGAGCAAAAATCGAAAACTGGACCAAACAACATAAATAAACAAATTAAATACTTCACCAGACCTTCCCACCTAACTGTCAAAGTACACCTCACCTCCCGCTCCCCCCTCTTCCCACGCTCGCTCCCTATCCCAGAAAAGGTTTGGTGGTTTTCAGTAGGCTTTAAGTTTTTATCTTATATAATATCTCAGACTAAGGTTAGGAGAATATATGTGCATTGCTGGAATCCTTGCAAGACAGCGAATAACTTGAATATAAACGTCATATATTTTGCACAAGAGATATGAATTGATCGCCTGTATCACATTACAGTACAGTAGTAATAATGACACAAAGTTTATAAAAACACAGGCTTAAGGTCAGGCTAGGGAAGAAAAGGGTGTTAGGTGAGTGACATTCTGGTAGTGAGAGCAGGTCACAAAGCCACACACAATAAAACAGATGAAGCCTATTGACACACGGGTGACTCACCACAGATAACAAGGGAAGGACACATACCTGGAGCTACAGAGGTGCTGACAAAAATGCTTATGATACAATGGATCACAAAGGTTATGGCAAAACTACTGAGGTTCCGAATGGTGGGTGACATGAGCAGTGACACACCTACCAAGTTCATGACAAAACATGGATAAAACAAAGCCATTAGGTTAGGATTACACATATTCTCCTGAAGGTAGTGAGGGGGTTATGCTGGATCACACAGTTCATGACAAGAGAGCTAATGAGGTTATATAAAGTCTTATGTTCCAAATATTTCAAAATCCTTCCTTAGAACATCAAAGAGAAATGTCTTATAATCTATGAAATGCAAAACTACCATGAAATTTATGTAAAAAAAAAAAAACACGTGGTACCATCTCTTATCTATCAAAGGCTGGTGAAAAGGTCTCCTCTTCTCTCTGCCAGGACCAACTTCCCCTTGTAATGTTATCGTTTTCGTTTATACAAGTAAATTAGTCTCCTATCCTGGCCCACCATCACCCTTCACTACACCACTACCATCACCTTTCACTACACCACTACCATCACCCTTCAATACACCACTACCATCACCTTTCACTACATCACTACCATCACCCTTCACTACACCACTACCATCACCCTTCACTACACCACTACCATCACCCATCACTACCATCACCCTTCACTACACCACTACCATCACCCTTCACTACACCACTACCATCACCCATCACTACCATCACCCTTCACTACACCACTATTTACTTGCCTTTACTGCAAACTTATTTTCACTGTTTTTTTTCAGCATCTTTTGGCGCCTGTTTCTGGTGAGGCAAAGTCTTAGATGCTGCCAGATCACTAATTTGCTGTGCTATGAGCCAACCTGGGTTATTTCTTTCATACAAACATGCAAGAAATTATCCTACAATAACACTTGGGTTTCCATCAAGTCCTTCCATATTCATCAATTTTTTATAACAGGTATGTCTTTGACTTTAACAGTTGGTGATTTCTAGGGATTATGGAAATACTTGTCCTTAGAATATGTTCACTTAAAATCTCATCAGGTGTCCATATGATTTCTGAATTCTCATATCCTAAAGATTGTCTTCAAAGCTCTCTTGATAAAAGGCGACATGAGGAGTTAGCTTATCTACAATGACTCACTACTCCAGGGAGTTCCTTAACCCCCTGCATTCCCCTCATCCCTTGTCTGTGCTCTTCTTCATGTACTGCTCTACCTTTCCCTCCCACAATGCTGGTATACTCCCACTCTACAGTATTTGCTATATTACCCATTTACATACTTTACATCCTCTTTACTATTTTCACCTCCTGCATCCTTCATACTTGTTCACACCTTTTCATCAACACTCCACAATTTATGCCTCCTGTCTACTCTGTCATTCCAAACTCCATATACACTTCACTATTCCAGGAACTCCAGATGCAGCCCTCTGGAAACTCTGGTTGAAATTTTAGGACATTCTCCTCCAGTCTAAGCTTCAATGCCATAGATTACAACTGGAAATTTACCTTATTTCCCTAATGACCATCCACTAGAGGTGGCCATATCATGGGAAGGAGGCTAGTGAACTGTGTAGGATCCCTCCATTGTTCTAGATAATGTTACATTAATGAGTTCTTTCTTTACCTCTAGGTTGACCACACAACTTTATCATTCCTTCCATTACATTTATTCCTCCTGTTCTCACATTCTATTGTTCACCATACGTGTCTCCTCAATTCCTAATTCACCCATCTATGAAATTGTATATACTGTACTGTATTCCCTCCTCTTCATCACTTCAATCATTCCATTTATATTTAATGCATCTATTCTAAAACTAACCTCTCTAAAGGTCTTCTGTGCAATTCTGTTATTTTTTCACCTTATTTTGCATCCACCCATATGGAGCCACTGGTTGGGATACACCAAATGCAGTGATGTACCTGGAGACTGATGGTCATACTTATTTGTCGGCTGACACCAACCCACTCCCCACTCCAGGAGTTAAAAGTGTTATTATTCTAACTTTTAAACTACAGCTCACAGCATTCTCTCTATCTCACAATAAACTTACAATACTAAGAGAAACTCTACTTAAAATTACACTAAAGAGTCATTAAAAAAGCAGTTCTTCTAAATTATATTCTAAAAGTTTTACATTAAAAGTAATACATGTACACAAATATATGCACTTTGTATTTCAAAATCAACAAAACAGTGTGTCCAGGCATAAAGAAGACCATGTGAGCAGAACCTTATGTTAAGTTATAATACCAAAATAGTCAGGCACAGTATTTCATTGTAAATTTCGGAACTTTTACTAATAAGGCCCCAGCAGAGGAGTGCTTTTCACCATTGACTAATATGAAGGAAAAAAAATTCATTTTCAAAATGTTTACGCTGAAAAAGATACATTTTGTAATTGTATGGATACACTCAAACAATTCAGTGTGATAAAAATACATATATATATATATATATACCACACAACTAAGAAAGATCATAAACCAATACATGAACCTTTAGAAATATTTACCGCCATAGCTATGTATAGTTCAGGTTCACATGTATCCAATGCAAAAATATTCTTATGGTACATGTAAAAAAAAAGTGAAAGTTAGTAACAAAATAATTCAAGGAAGATCAAGTAAAGCCCTGAGAGATTGAGAGTTCAAGTGTAATGCATGCAAAGAGACTGAATTAAGCGGTGCTTATTTCACTCATTATGTACGAATGTGAAACTCAAAAGCTTCACAGTAATGAGAAATTTTGACTGAAACCAACAGAGGGATAGTGTACAACATATTACAGGAGTTCAAATAACTGATAAGGTAAAGTGTGAAGATATTGAAAGAACGTCTCAGGGCAAAGCATATCTTAAGAGGAGAACCAAATGGATGAGAGTGCATGTAGGTGGTATGGGCATGTATAGTACTAGTACTGTATGGAACATAACAAGTGAAAGTTTGATGAGCAAGACTTCTAATAGCAAGGATGAAAGTAAAAGAAGAAAAAGAAAGAGATGGATAGGCCATGTAGGTGAATTAGAGAGGTCTAGAGGTGATAGACCAAATGATGTTAGTAGAATGATTGTGGATATTGTCAATGAAGTAATTTCAAATATCTGTACCTGTATGATGGTTAAAACAGGGATGATCCTTGTGACTCCACTTAGCATGCACAATAAATTGAGAGGAAACACTGTAATCAATGTGGAGGTTAAGGATAAATTTTTCCACTTTGAAAGTTGAGGAAGAAGCAAGTATAGTGTTGCTACTTGTTGCTTCAGCCTTTTCTTCTCACTTTCTCCACTTTTCTTGCACTTGTCTCTTTAATAATTTCCTCTCACGTTTGACTTTACTCTTTCCTTGAGCCATCTTAAATAAAAGTAGTTAAATATGAAAAATAAGAGATTGATAGATCAGTAATCAATGTAAATACATCTACAGCAACTGGTCTCATGCACTTACCTAAATATAAAAATAAACAGTATGAGCAGAGAGAAGAAGATAGCGACATTATCCATGGTCCTCAGCATGACAAGAAGTTGGCGGCGGAGTTGGGGCATAAATCGCACCAACTTGAGGATACGAAGAAGACGGAAGGTCCTGAGCACTGACAATCCTGACCCTTGTCCCGCCTGCTGGTCCGTTGGATCTGCTGCATGTGCCGAATAGCTCTCGTACATCTCCACCACACTGTAAGTGGGTAATAACGTTAGGTAAGTGGGATGGAACAATTAGGAGTGTAGGTTACTCAAGGGTACACCACCATGGGATACCTATATCACAGGACTCTGATAGAGGGATGCCTAAACAGTGTGATAGTATGATAAACTGTTTATACATGGACTGTCCTACATAAATTTTAACTTCTGACTCGTATCATAACCAATGACCAGGGAATATTCAGTCCCCGTGAGCACTAGTAACCATATGACACTGTCTATCAGTTACAACTGTTAACTGATGTATGATGAGAGAGGAGCAGAGTTTAAATACTATGAGGGTAATTATATGAAAATTAGAGAAATAAGGCACAAAGACTGGCATAATATACACCAAATTAATCTATAATTACACATCCTGCCTTTAATGTTACAAAGTTGAATCTCAGTAAACTTTAGGCTATTCATAAATGAAAATGCATATGTAGACACAGAGTCTAAGGCTGCAGAAATACAATAGCTATCTCTATATTACACACTGTACTGCACAGTCAGGCTCAAAAAGGGAAGAAATGAAGAGAAAAGTTGGGAAAGCCAGTTGGTGGAGAGCACTTCTGGGAATGAGATTTCTGGGTAACGAGACGACTCTCTCAAAGCCGGATAAAAATCCCTCGTCCCTGGAATTTTCCAGGCAGTGGGAAAATTTTCTCAGAAGTTCCAGAAATTGCACATTGTATCATCACTAGAACCTGGAAAGAAATCCCCCATCCCCGGAATTTTTTCGGGTACCGAAATTTCCTCGGAATTTTCCAGAATGATGCATTACGTACTTCATCTCTCAAAGCCAGAATACATTTTCTCAGAATTTCCAGAAAATGCGCCCGACTTTCATCTTTCAAACCCAGAAAAAAAATTCCTGCATGCTTGGAATTTTCCGAGTATCAGGAAAACTTTCTCGGAATTTTCCAGAAAATGTGCCACTCGGAAAATCGTTCCCAAAGTCAGATTTTTCCAGAAAATTCCAGCTTTGGGAATGATTTTTCAAGAAACTTTCAATTCCAGCAAACGGAGAGTTCCGGTTAAGTGGGATTCCGGCTAACGAAGATATTACTTAATTAACTATTGAGGGTGTCCTTTGATTTACATTGACACAGGCAAAACTAAAGACCATTCAAGATTGTGGTTTCATTATAACATTACAAATGTATTTGTTTTTCATTTAATAATTTAATTCAAATTATTATGTTCTTCTTGTTATTGGTTGTGTTTTAAAAATATGTTCTTGTTCTTATTGATTGTGTTTAAGCTTAACCCTCTCGTGCATGATAATGTGATTTACATCATATTCATGATAAGACCAACTTCATGGTGACGTAAATCAAGTCACCAAACTTCAAAAAATTTGCCAAAAATTAAGATTTCAACAAAATTGCATTAAATTTTGATGCGTCATAGTAGCAAGTAAGTTTTATAAAATAAAATAATTGGCAACTCTCGAAGCCCATAAAAAGGGAAGACCGGAATGATAAATGTGCAGTATTATCTCAGCAGTCAGACCATCAGGGTGAACAATGTCCATTTAAATTTCCACAACTCCGTGCGGGCTGCCTCAACTCCTGGATTACAGTACTTATCCTACTACCTGAAATAATTTATTTTTAATATTAGAGAAGTGAAGAGATGGTTGTATAAAGCAATATTTTTTTCATATTTCCAAAGAAAGTGTCTAAAAAAAAGTCTCTGAAAGAGGATGATTTTTGAGACTTACATGAATTTTATCAGTACCATTCTCTTCATTATAGTATTGGTTACAAGATGCAATATATTTCATATCTATATAAAACATACAGGGAAGGCACAAAAAAAAACAAAAAAAACATTTTTTTTTCTAAAAACCAGTTTTTGTGATTAAGTCCAGAATGCGAGGTCTAACTTTATACCTAGGTATGTAAATGACTAGCATTAAAGCGCCAGGCCAACATACAGGCAATTAAAACATCTAATAATTACTTAAATAAGTAATATTAGGAGGACACGTCGCTCGACATACAGCCCATCATCACTGAGTCTTGTCTCTATTATTCTGATTAATTATCACTGGTTCCGAGGCAGTGGTTCTTCAGTCACGACAATCAGATAATTTTGTTAAAAGAAGCGACTGATCCGCCAAGAAAATGAGTATGTCACCTTCGTATGTGGTACACTTCCCTAATGCTAAGGCCACCCAGAGGGAGATCAGTACTTGGCTTCATGAAACAAAAACAGTGCGACTTGCTGTTGTTGCCGAGGTTTCTGATTGTTCGACGGCGTGTGATAGTGAGTTTTTTTGTATCACACAAAATTGTTTTAAATAAGTTCTGGAATTCTTAAAGTGGCAGGGCTGATGTAAACACTTGTATGGGAACACTTAAGTTAGGTATTCACTCCTTAAATAGTGTTAAGAGTCTGGCTGTCTCCGAGTGTGAGAGCGGGGAGCATCCGTCAAGCGATGTTTGATTAGTCAGCCCAACCTCGCTCGACTCCTGAAATATTACATTCGCCTTAATGAGGAAAGGTGAAATGAAACCAAATGATTATAGCACCCGTGCTGTGGTGCTGATATCTGTGGTGCTGAGTTAATACTGTTCTGTGGAAATTTGAGAATCTTTTTTTGCTACTTTCTCAAAAACTATTGATGATACCAGAAATATGATTACTGCATTGGAAAGCTCATAAAATTCCACTTCTAGCAGTGTATAGTACAATTGGCTCAGACAATTTTGAGCTTGGAGGTAGTGAATGTATTGGTGTATTTTTGCTCAATCCAGAATGCGACGCCTAGTTTATACCTAGGTATGTTAATGCCTAGCAATAACTCGACAGGCCAACATACAGGCAATTAAAGCATAAAAAAATTACTTAATACGTAATGTGACGAAAAAGCCGTTTTTTTCTAAAAAAAAGTTTTTGTGATATAGCTCGAATGCGACATCAGCAACTGCTACCTAGGTATGATATAAATTCCTTGCGGAGGTGAGTATTTCAGCAATTAGAACACAAATTTGCGGAGCTTCCCTTTGTGTGTATTATAGCTGAATCGCCAGGCAAGAGATGAGGTTCGTGATGCGCATAGTTGGGGGTGAACGAAGGGGGTTTGAGAATTGCAATTAAATGCCAGGTAGCGACGTGTCCTCCTAATATTACTTATTAAGTAATTATTAGATGTTTTAATTGCCTGTATGTTGGCCTGGCGAATTGGCTAGGAATTAACATACCTAGGTAGCATTTGCTGACGTCGCATTCAGCTTTTTTTTTTTGGGGGGGGGGCTTGTGTTGCAGATCAATCAGTTATGAAGCCAAAGCTATACTGTATGGTTTATGACATTAAACACAAGTTTGGGGGAAATTGATAAAGCAAAAAAAAATAAACATTCACTGTGCGCTGTCTCACCTACCCTGGGGGCCTCAAGAGATCTGATCATGGAACTGGAAAATTTAAAACTTATCTCGTGCACAAGAGAGTTAAGTACTGGTCCCAGGTAATGTAGCAAAGGTGGAGAAAGATCTAAAAATGTGATGCAGATATGAGGACCATTAGTTATACAACATTGGGATTACCCAGAGTTGTAAAAAGTACCAGACTTTGTTGAGTAAAAGTATTGTTACATTAGGAAAATGTTACTCAAGTAGAAGTAAAAGTATCCAAAGTTCAATGAACTCAAGTAAAAGTAAAAAAGTATCTCATTCGTAAAGTACTCAAATACTGAAAGAGAAGAGTAACAACAAAATTATTGCCATCAAAACTGTTTTATCGGAAATTATCATGTAAATAGATAAGAAATCACCATTGCAATAAACATAATTGCCAACTAAACATAATCCTGACAGCTCTGTCCTCTTGTTCAACCTTAATACTGTACAAGTATAACCCATGTTGTACTGCTCCCCCATTATACTTATGTTTTTCAATTCCACATGGGAAGCGGCGCGGACAAGCTGCGCGCTAGGTCGCTCTTACGTCACCGCTGACGTCAGATGACGTATCGGACTGTGATTGGGCCACGCATCCTTACCAGCCACGCATTCCCTCCGCCGCTAGCTGTGATTGGTCTATTTAACCTTGCTTGCCCAGTCAACAAAACATTACCGAGTTCTTCACCCGCCACCCACCACAGCCAGCCCAAGTCAGTGATAGTTAAGATATGGACTTTGAGGGGTTTGACAAGGAGGCCCTGCTAACCTCTGTGGTGGATAGTGATAAAGGTGATACAAGTGATACAGGTGAGGGCCAATAATCTGCCCTCTGCCTCGGAACCAACCCCCCCATCCCCGTGTGCCCAGCCATCTCTTCTACTAACGTAAGTGTTAAAAAACCTAAAATTATTTATATTTCTCTTAAATATTAATTGTGTGTGCATACCATCATAAAATTAAGATGTTATTTTTACTATAACGTACGTATTGTGTCGGAAAAAGGGTAGTCTGGGGGTCGGCCCAGTCTCTATTTCAATTAATCCCATATGTTCTGTTATTTCGTTTACGCGTTTCTCGTTTTACGCGGACCTCCATGGGTTTAATTGACCGCTTAAACCGAGACTATACTGTATACTTATAATATAAATAACAAAAATAAACTAAAAATAAAAATAATAAATAAATAGAATAAGTAAATATTGAAGTGATAACCGTGGTAACATTATGAGATGTTCTTATTACCACCATGCTATTGTACTATTCCAGATATTACTAAATGTTACATAATACTTCCTTGAGATAAATGTATAGTATATACCAGGTGCCTAAAAGAGAGCTCAGGTTCTCAACTGGCTCAGCCATGTTAATACTATTGTTATTATTATCCACACTGTATCTGTGTTTTTCTGGCTAAATAAATTGTTTCAATTCAATTCAATTCAAATATTAAAATATATCTTGAGGAAATTAAAAAAAAACTATTTGATAAAAATACAATACTGTACACATAGAACTACATACGTTTACAGTATTTACAAATATTTCCATTGAGATTAATCAATAACTGACTCTCGAAATTATTACATTCCAATCAGGATCTTTTATGCCTAAATATAAGCTCAGCATGACCTACTGAAAGATAATACATTCAGGCAATCTTTTCCCTATCCATCCAACACTATGATCACTTTCTTCCTTATCCACACAAGTATCATTGACATGGACTTACAGTCCCCAGACATAATGTTATCTCTGCTCGCATTAGGTGAGGATACAGACCTATATGGCAATTATCTGTGCCGGGGGATGACCCACACTTCTCTTCTTGTAAACTCTGTAACTGTCCCAATGCTAAAGCCCTTCAACACTATTGCCTTGACTGTCCCACCGTCAGGGACCTCCTACCACAGGACGAGTCACTAACCTACTTATTCGTAATAACTTCGATTTAATTCTTGTACTGTACACTACCAATGCTTTGGTGGGTGCTAACTCCCATTGTCCATAAATCATATTAATATTCTCTCCATATCAGAAGTCATAGCATGTCCTGCAAGACACGAGTACCAATGTATTAGTGTGAGACCGCATTGCCTTGTGACTGGGGTGTAATAAATTAATCAAATAATAAATAATAAGCTCAACATGACTAAACAGATGTTTGCAAGTAGCAGATGCAGGTAGTGGGGTGTTAAGCTTCAGAGATAAGTCACATAATGTTGGGAAAGACCTCAGTTGCTCCATTCCATCCCCTGGGCATGCCAAGTAGCTATCAAGCTCCTTCAGTTTGTGGATGTTTGTTACCTCCATAGTGATTGAGTCTGACTAAGACTCACCGTGAACTGTCCCTCTAACTGGAGTGTGACTGTGATGACGTTACTTTTCAATACTAATTGATGAGCGACTGAATTTTTCGCACCACGTAGCATCTGGCGGGTGTTGGGGGGTGGGGGCAGTGGTATTTAAGTTATTTAAGCAGAATTTTAAATATACAGTACTCAGTCTCACACATAATTATAGATACAGGCTTTGTATCTAAGATAAAATTATGTAAAGCATTTTAGAATCACAGCCTCTTTGAAATTCTTTTTAGGTTACAGGTACAGTAGTATATGCAAAGAGCAACTGACGTAAAACGAGAAGATCAAGCCCCTGAAGGAAAAGTGGAAGAGAAGAGAGGGGGAGTCGATGGGTTTGGGAAGGATAAGAGGGTGGTCAAGGTGCTAATGGACATGAAGATCAAAGGGAAAGTCCGCTGTCATGGCCTGACGTCACCTCATGAGACCTCTAGTGTCTCCCCACACCCACACCGTACCCCTCACGGCTCTATCCACACAACTCTTTTCCTATGGTTAATAATTATTTAATTAAAAAAATATATTTTTAGTTTGCATGTAACAAGTACAGTCAACCCTCACTTTACGCGGTTAATTCAACCCACAGGGTACCGCGGAAAGTGAACAACATAACATATGGGATTAATTGAAATAGAGACCGGGCCGACCCCCAAACTCCACTTTTTGACGACACACAACTATGTTGTAGTAAAAATATTATCTTAACTTTATGATGGTATGCACACACAATTAATAATAAAGAGAAATATCAATAATATTAGGTTTTTTAACACTTACATTAGTAGAAAAGATGGCTGGGCACACGGGGATGGGTGGTTGGTTCCGAGGCAGAGGGCAGATTATTGGCCCTCACCTGTATCACTTGTATCAATTATATCACTATCCACCACAGAGGCTTGCAGGGCCTCTTTGTCAAACCCCTCAAAGTCCATATAAGTCCATATCCTCATATCCTGACTTGGGCCGGCTGTGGTGGGTGGCGGGTGAAGAACTCGGTAATGTTTTGATGACTGGGCGACCTTGTGCGCACCATGCTCGCGCCGCTTACACAACATGGCGGATGGCGGGAGAGGGCGGGAGAGATGGCGGGAGGTTTGGATCCAAAAATGGCGAGGCTCGCCAGCCGCTCTCCGCGTAAAGGGGTACACGCACCGCGGAATGTGAGCATTCCTGTTTCGGCAGGGTACCGCGTAAACGTGGAAACGCGGAATGTGGGACCACGTAAAGCGAGGGTTGACTAACAATTTTTGTATTTTCAATTGTAATGGGGTAAAAGTACAGGTTGACAACCCTTTATCCGAAATTCCGAAAACCGAAAAGCTCTGAAAACCGAAAGTTTTTTTTTTTGTGGGTCAATTTTTATTTATTTATTTTTTTAAACAGGGATTAGCCCACCCAGGCATAGATCACTGACCCACATCGGGGCCTTGGGGAGGGGGGCGAAAATGAAATAGTAATAATAATTATAATAAAAATAATTATTCAGAGTAAATATTATTTTTAATAAAAATACACTAAAATAAAATAATAATGATAACAATAATAATAATAAAATATAATAATAAAATTAATAATAATAATAATAATAACAATGTTACTGTAATAATAAAATAATAGTAATAAGAATGATAATAATAAAGAAAATACAGGAATGAAAAAAATATCAAAAGTGAGAAACACGACCTAGACCTATGAATTATTATTATATTATAATTTGTATTATAGTTCCCCCCCCCCAGTCCCCGATGTGGGTCAGTGATCCATGCTCGAGTGGGCTAATACACATTAAAAAAAAAAAAAACCGAACCATTTTGAAAACCGAAAAATTCTGAAATCCGAAATGCCTCTGGCCCCAAGGATTTCGTATAAGGGATTGTCAACCTGTATTAGAAAACCATACTTAAGTAAATGTAAAAGAAAAGCAAATACCCAAAATGTTACTTGAGTACAGTACTCAAACTTATTTAGTAATTTACCAACTCTGGAATTACCTACAGGTGTACAACAAATTTCCTGCATTACCAATCCTACATACACAAATAGTACTCATTACTTTATCATGTTAATTAAGATTCTGCTACTTAAATATAACAAACTCTATTGCTTAAAATAATGTGATATACCCAAATCCTTTTGAAATACAATTTATACATTGTTCAAATAAAATTTCTTAACATACAACTACACCACATATACTGACATCACAATCTATCTTACCTAGTTAAGATATTACCTGAGAATTACAATGACACCATCAAAGACATTGAAACCATTGCTTATATAACCAAATGGCCCCTCAGCAATGACCTTCAGCAACATCTCGATGGCGAACACAGCCGAGAAGATGTAGTTGCTCATCTCTACAATGGTTGTCAGTATATCCGGCTGCAGACATAGAGATGGAAAACAATGAATACTAACAAGAATTTTATGTAAGGCTTCGAGCAGTGTGAGAAATCAATGTAGTACTGTACAAAACAGTGAAACCTCTATTTAGCGGACTACTGTATATGGAGATAAAAATCTGTTATATCGAGAGTCCGGTAAATGTAAAACCTCCATCTAACAAACTATGTAGCAATGAAACTTCATTATATCAAGGGTCTGTTATATGTGAAAGCCCCATCTCATGGATTATATGGCGATGGAAGTCCATTATACATGTATGGAGGTTTCACTGTTGAACACTGCTCCTCACAACCAAAATATTATACTGCTGCTTGGGGCACTGAGTGCAAGATGTGTCCTCTACTGATAACAATGGGTGTTTCTCATACCATCCTCTCTTACAAGACCAAAAAATGAGAACAGAATAAATATACCAAGTTCTGGGATGGTAAGTTGATTGTTTCATTACCAATGTTTCTGTGGTGGAGATGACCTGCCTTTTATTATAAGTCCCTAAAAACTTTCTGTAAGCCATTCAAAAACTAATTTTCTTTGTTGTATAATATAGGACAAGTCAAATAAAACTTAATTATACACGTGACATTGTATAAAGGAAATGGTCTATAGAACTCAAAATTTCCAAAATGTCATATCCAGTAAGAGCTGCTTTGATATTTTTTTTATTTTTTCAATTATTTTTTTTTTGGTACAGTATAGTCCAAATTTTCTGAGTTAATTCTGAAGCAATGGAGTAATGTGACAAATTCACATCACACACTGATCACCTAACATAGAGCAACAGGTTCAGCAGCAAGTCTAGTCTGCATTAATGAATGTCCTATGGCTATTACCAAAAACAAAAAGAAGACCAGTTATTAATTTCTTGACATACACAAAGCAAAATAAGTTACTTCACCTTATACATCCTTAATAATTCTATGCATTGGCAACTTCTTCTACAAAACTGATTTCCGGAAGATTAAGATCTTAGATGGACAGTAACTTCTCTCAGGGGAACTTAAAGAAAATGATACATGACAATAAACACAAGCTTCACTGGACAAACTCAGTCTAATATCAAAGACTGACTGGTACTTTAGGGTGTTCCCTACAATAATGTACTGTGTTTGGTATATTCTCTGTCTGTTTATTCTTTACAAACACAGTATGGTACCACCATATTGCATCATTGACAATATTCAATATAGGGTTTGTCAGGATAACAATTTTACATGAAATCTAAGTTTGATACACACTGTTTTACTAATTTTTCTGTGAAACTTAAGATATGAAGTAAAATTTCTTTTGCCTTCCTGGTTGCACCAAAATACTGTGCTTAAAAGTACTTATGAGAATTATCAAATCACAGAACAGGATGATTTCTAATTAATGCATTGAATACCATTACAGACTCACCTGGTTATGGTACTCAATTCCCATGCTAAGAGTGTTGATAAGGATGGCAATAAGAATACCACGTTGAAAGTACCGATGTTCCACCAGTTTCTTGATGTAGACTCGTATCTGTGAGCAGAATCTTTGGGCCAAGCCAGGTGGACGCTTTTCCTCTTCCCTCCACTCTTCATCGCTCCAATCAGAGTCTGAGTCACATGAGTCAGAGCCTGAATAGTAACTGGTTAAACCTGCTGGTGACTGATCAGGTGAGAAGAATAAAGTTGGTGCAGAAAAGTGTTTGACCCCTTTGGCCAGTGAGGAATAGAGGGTGTGGACGGAGCGGGAGTCAATGCCCAAGTGTGTGGGCAGTGCGGCAGACAGAGCACCGCTCAGTGCCAGCAGTTCCCCGCAGGTGAGAGAACCCTTCCCCCCCGAACCATTATATGATGGTGTCCGTGAGACAGACCGCAAGGAAGACTTCGTCTTGTTAGGGGGTAGAAGGGCTGGAGGCAACAGTGCTGGGGGCATAAGAGATGGGGGTCCTGGAGAATGAGGTGAAGGAGGTAGTGGTTCACGAAAATATGCTGGATCTATTGGTTCATCATCAGTCTGTGTAGTCTTCTCACTATGACAGACATTTTTTGTAGCAGTTTCTCCAGCATGGCCATGGAGAAGCACCACATCACTAAACATGACAGAGCTGCGTCGACGTTGTCTTGGTGTACAAATGCCCTGTCCCCCTGGTGAAGGTGGCAGCAGCTCATTGATGCCATCACCACTTGCACCACTTGGGATCTTAAGGAGAACAGGGCGATGTGGGGAAGTCTGGGGGTCTACATCTGATAATTCTGGACTGGCACGAGGAGCATTGTTGTTTCGTGGATCATCGAGAATTTCATGCATCTCTGGAGGTGATAGAAGCTGAGGACTTGTTGAACTAATATTATTCATCACAGTGAAGGCACCACCAGGGCCAACACCACCTGAAGCAGGTGGCACAGCCACTATGGTGCTTAATGCCCCAGAGGTTCCACCCTCACGGTTGATAAGGGCACTCTGTGCTGCCTCATACTGACGACGGCGGCGCTGTTTCTTGAGGCTCAACTGTCGTGGGTGTTCAGATCGATTTTTCCGGCGGAACTGCCGGTACCGGATATATAGCTTTCGTCTTCCTCGCCGCCACAAGTGAGCAATATATTTTATGATCTCACCATAACAAGAATTAGGATCTGAAGTAGAGCCCGATGCTAGTGTGCTGGTTGATTGGAATCTGGCCCGCTCCATCTTCATCCGCTCCATTTCACGTTTCTTAGTCTCAGAAAACTGGGTAGCAATAACAACCAGGCACAAGTTGATCATGAAGAATGACCCAATCTGTAAAAAAATAAAAAATGACTTATGAAACCATTCATCACCATTATAACAGCCATGAACTATACAGGTACATATATGTTTAAACTGTCCTTCTTATGTCTAGACCATTACAAAGGTATGTGTCTTAAGGATATAAGACAGATGTAGCTGTAAAGACTTTGGCTCTACAGTACACATGTATCGTACAGTCTCGTTCAAGATTCTTCAAACACTGCTGGCAACTCAAGGCCGTTTGTTTACTATAGTACGTAATAAAAAATATGAATGAATGTAAAAGTGATCGGTGATTGGTTACTTAGTTCCCTGTTGCCTAATTAATGGTTGGACTTCGTTGTTTCATATTATATTATACTTTGTACTATAGTAAACAAACGGCCTCAAGTTGCCAGCTGTCTCCAGCAGTGTTCGAAGAATCTTGAACGAGACTGTACTTTCAATAGCTGACAAACATGTGGCTGCAATAGTGTCATATGACAACAGCAAACAAACTGTTAACGATTACCACTGAATTAGGAAATGTACAATTCTAAAAATTATTATAGCTGCAGAAAACATGCTAAATACAGAAACTGTAAATTATTACAACAATAAAGATAAAAAAGGGATAGAGTCAATGGGCCATATTCAAGATCGTTTAGCTTGAGATCTCCTTATGGGGATTGGCCACATTTTGCATTCAAGAAGCATGGGGAATCCTCAAGGTGTGAGCAATGCTCACGGATATTACTGGATTTTTTGTGAGAAGGGGATGGGCTCCCTAAGAAAGCCCTAAGGATAAATCAATGTTGACTATAAATATAATTGCAATTACAAATATGTTGCAATGCTTCTAGTATAATTGAAAAAAATAATCATCATACATATATGATGAATTTCACTGATGGACAAGGACGGACATGGCGTTTAGACAATGACACTCTACCCCCCAAAATGTGATATTTCATGTTTGTTTACCAAAAATCAGACTGCTAAATTTGAAACCCATCTGCAGACAACACCACAGTAAATTTCATTCAAGCCTCAAGGTATGTTTATCTCAGTTGTATTTCCTATAGATAAACGAGTATTTGATGAGGTTAGTTCAAACAAAAATAGAACAGCAAATCACTTGCTATTAGAATATTTTGTATATTCATGAATATAGTGTCAATAACCCCCAACATCCCCCACCCCGCCTCTATTACAAAAAACCCGTCCAAAACCCAGCAAAATGATACAAAAGTGACAAAGTTGCCAACTGAATACATACAAAATGAGTGAAGGTTCTTTTCAAAATACAACTGATACATACTAGAAATAGATCCATTATGGCAAAATGCTAACACATAAGTGAAATATGGGGCAGTCCTCGTCTAAGAGACATAATCCTGAAGGTTCCTGGGAGCACGCATTGTCCGCACGTGCCTCTCGGTAGGTGGCGTGGGTGCTGTTGTGATGTCGGGGGTGGCTTCGGGCGCGGCGGTGGGTGTGTCGGCGATTCTTGATCATTGTTCGTCCGCTGCCGTCCAGGCGGATAAGGTACTGTCTGGGGGCCGGTGACTCCACCACCACCCCCAATTGGTCCCACTGCCCCGACTCCTGGTTCTGGGCTCGTACCCGCTGACCCGATACAAGTGGCGGGAGGTTGTGGGCGGTCAGGTTGAACCTGCGCGACAGGTTCTCACTGGTGCGTCCCATCGCACGTTCCCTGTTCCTCAGCGACCCCCTCCAGTGCCTACTGACGTTATAGTGCTGCCTGGCGGCGGACACCGACTCCCTCAGCTGTCGCTCCGTCAAGAGCCGCCAGGGATGTGAAGTATCCCATTAAGACAACCATTGTCTTCTGTCCTGGATGTTGATATGTGGGATGTCCAGGGGCCTTAAGGGAGGTTGCATGATGCTCATCAAGTTGGTCCCTCCGTCACACAACAGAACCTCAGGGATACCAGACTGTTGTGGGGCCATAGGGTACAGCAGACCGGCTCCAACACCGTGTGAACTGCCATTGTTCTGTGGCGATGGTACTGGGCCAGCGTCGACGACCATGTGTGAACTGCGTTCCTAGCGGCACTCCCGGCCTGGGAACACCACTGTGGACGTTGGCAACATTCCCTCCGGGCCACCTGTAGAAGTACACTGCGCCATGTTAGGATGCCAATCCGGGGGGTGATTAAAGGCCGCGTCCATAGTCCATTTATTGGCGAAGGAGACAAGGGGGTACAGACATGACAACACAGCTTGGCGTCAGAGCCGCAACTGTCTAACCCCCGCCGTCAGTGGACCCATGTGCTGTTGCCAAACCGACACATACCCTAACATTATGGTGATATATTAATCAGGTAGTGTATCCGAAATTAATGAAATATTTCAATACTTTTAGTATATTAGCCCAGGTGTACAAGATTGGTAAATTTTTACAAGTTGCCCATAATGTCCCACAATATTTTTGGGTCCAGTTCTAGATATATCTCCTCATTCTGAATACCTTTCATTCTATACATTTTTGTCGCAAATGAATAATAGTGAACGTAATAGAACCTGACCTAACCAACCAAAGAAACCTACCTAACACTTGCCTAACTCCCTAGCCAGGTGGCGACCCCCGCCATATTAAACAGAAAGTACTTATTTTGTTATCTGGTACCAATGAAAGCAGCTTTATTGAAACGTCATGGCATAATTTTAAATTTTATATGGACATGAGAGTACGCTGGGACCGAGCAGGTCAGTTATAAACAGACGACACGCGGTTGCGACTCAGCAGATTATGGGCAACTCGTAGAAAAATACCACACTACTGTATTTGTTCTCTGTACAATACAGTATAAACGATATTTCTATTGATTCAGTTTATCTTTATATGATTTTTATTGCCCACAACTAACAATAATTATGATCAGCTGTTTGTGTACGGCATACCAACATTCCCTTTTTTCCTATGCTGGCAGACCTGGAGCAAGTCCCACGCAAACCCCACGATTTGTACCACCTAGAATACGACCAATGCCCATGGCTTGGGCAAACCTCACTGTGAGGATTCCTCATGAAAAAAGCCCACATAAAACGATCTTGAATGCAGCCGAATGTCTCATGTCCAAAATCATAAATGAGAACTTACCAATGCTGACAGTCAACATTTTATGTTCATCAGTACTTAAAGGTATCCATTTAAACACTTCATGAGAGGTACAGTAATTAAATGTAGTGTGTCTTATGGGTTACGCATCATGGGAAAATTTATGCTATCTTTAATATCTTCCAGGTGAGGGAATCATAACAAATCAACTAAAATGGCAGAAATATTTACGGTAGAGGAAGGCATCAGTTTAATATTCATGTATGGGAAGCCAGAAGCTATACTCCAAACAGTTACAAAAGAATTTAATTGACTTCACCCGGGCATATGGGTGTTGTCAATCAAATTCTTTCGTGTAGCATCTGGCTTTCCATACATGAATATTAAACCGACTCATTCCTCTAGTGAAAATATTCTCCCACCATCATTGATCTGTTATGATTCCCTCGTCTGAAAAAGAAATAAATTTGAATATTAATCATCCTATGGTGCACGACCTACCAGACACCCTATATAGCTATCATCAAGGTCTTTTACCTACTGTACACACTCACCACAATAAGTAGGACAAAATATATCCAGTCCCAGAAGGAATGAGCGTCCTGCACATAATACATGATGTCCGTCCACCCTTCCAAGCTGATCACCTGTTGGCATATAACACATTTTTCACCAGATTATTAATGAGATATAGTAGGGATTTACAGTTACCAGGATATGTGAGAGAAAGAGAAAAGAGAGAAAAGTGATAGTTAGTTAATACTCATCATAAATGGCAAAGAAGATTATTGAAAGAATCATTTATCCATTTACTGCATTGTACTTTTTTTTTTTTGCTTCTTTATTATTCCCCTGATGAGGTTTGTGCACAAGGTAGAGGTGAGTCGAGTAAAAAGTTAAAGGAACAATAAACTCACCAGGAAGATGGCCACCCATGCCAGGCCGATGTTGTCAAAGGAAATGGCTCCTTGAAATGGGTTTTTGTCTCCCGGACGACAATCGGTGTAGTATTGGTTCCAGTTGACACAGGACTCGTTGGTCGGCTCATTGGGTACATGCAGAAGTGCAGAATCATTGCACTCCATTCCTGTTGAGATGATATTAAGTGGTTCAGTGAGAAGGTGGCATTAAAAAGAGATTAGTTTTCTATTTATTACCAACTTTTTGTTAAACTATTTACTTACATCTTGTACTTATGTAAGGCTAGTCCTAAAGTTCCATGATATTACCTCCAGCAACAAGCTAAAGAGAAGGAAGCTCAAAGTAGACCCCTGAAGGACACTCTACTTTCACCTCAACATAAGATGCCATTGCCACTTGGTTCAGAGTCATGTGATGTTCTTAGGCTATGTGGTTGCAACCCATTCTGGTTAACTTAAGTACCGGGCACATAAAAACAAATTCCAGTTAATGACAGGCACCCCAGTGAGCATTAAGAAAGGAAAGTTTATCCTGAGTCGAAAGAAAATAAGTACACAACAAAGTTCTGATACATAATCTTACCTTGATATCTCGTATGTGGGAGGCCTTGACACTGGTGCATACCGTTGTCTTTAGGTAAGGAGCAAATGTAGTCTTTCTCCTGGTCAGTAACTCTGAAGTATGAGGTGATGGGCCTGTGGGCAAGAGATAGATGAAGTCTTGCTGCAACTGTGCTCTTGAACCATCCTTGGGCTTAATGAGTCATTTGTATCAGCATCATGACAAACATTTTTTTTCTCTTGCCTGAGAACCTTAATAATGGTTTAATGATACTGAATCAATTTTATTACTTGCTTATCATTTCAGGTAATTAGTGAAAGCTGAAAATTAGACCCAACAAAATATCAACCAGGGTCCAGATTTATAAAGGTTCATATAATGAATGTTCCTCCAGAGTGAAGATGCAAAAATGCACCTACTGTATCCTCTACCGGCCAGTCATTAACAGATCAACCCTCTCTCACCAGTGGCCACCTACAACAATACAGTAATTATATTTAGGTGCTTTTTGCACCTTTTAACAGCCGCTAGCACCTGGACCAATGGCATGAATGTGGTACCCACAGAGCTTTTATTTGACCAATGGGAAGGCTGCTTAATTCCCCATGAATAAGCAGCTGCTTATATAACTGCAGTCTAGCCCAGGGTCTCTCTCTCTCATCCAGGGACACATTTCTTCTCCAGAACAGAGATGACCACCTCTCTCATCTGTTCCCATGATACTGCTGCCAGCCACAAGACTCACTCCAACAAAGACCTGAATTCATTCAACCAACTCCTAATTATATATTTCATAATACAGTGTGTAATTATTGCAATACTCTGTGTGTCTTCTGTTCTTGCCTATCCTTAAGAAAGAGAAAGACTGCATTATTAGTTGGTAATCCCTACATCATCATTTATGTTTTACAAAATAGCTTTTATCTGATGGCAGCTCTCCATGATGCATAGTCTCTTGCAACCTCTCTTGTCATATTCTTAACTCTAATGTCATTTCTTGTAACCTCTCCCTATGTCAATCTTGGCCTGACATGGGGAGACATTATAAGAAATGACATAAGAGTTAAGCTGCCAGAATAAAAAATAGAGCAAAAAATATATTGTACTGTATAAAATTTTTCTCATTTAACTGGTGCTCAGTGAACGTATTTAATGGAAGAGTATACAGTAAGTATGATATTATTTTTGGAGGTTATTTTTTTGTATTTTAACTTCAATCAACTTGTTGGGTGCATCCTTACAGCTTCAGTAACGAGGAACATTTGTTGTAGAAACCTTTGTAGGTCCAGACTCTGGCTGGTTAGCAAATGACTGAGGATTTTGCAAAATCTTCACCTTCAGATATAAGAACATGGTTTCTCTCTGAAGCAAAAGTTTCATAAGAATGGAATTACAACTTGGAAACCAGAGTTTACTATACCTCTTTAGTCTTTGTGGAAGCTAACTTAGCAACCAAAATTCTAAGGTTAGTGTTCATTAGTAATATTAGTGTTTTCCCACAGAAATTTTCTTCATGTTATATTATTAAATTGTTTAAGAATCTGCAGCTCATCTAGTTTGTCAGGTAAAGTACAGCACAATAAAAAGTTAGATTCTACACTTTTGGTTATTAATAACCTCCTACACTTACACTACCTGCTACACTCACAATGCCGAGCCTCACTACACCCACCATACCCTCTGAAGCACACTACACATGTGGCACTACACCTACTTCACAAAATGCCACAAATTGTTGTACAGTACTTGAAGTCGCTTAGGCGAATAATGATCTCATCTTGGTCTCAACACAAGCCGTACCTCTACACTGGCTGGTGCACCACCAGAATCAGAGGGTGAGGGGAAGGCAGTTTTAATACCACAAAAAGAGGAGACAAATCAGCCTTAGATCAAATGATCTTCAAGCATCATTCTATTTGTAAATCATTATTAATACCTAAGGCAAGGGACATGGTAATGCATATACATTAGGAGAAGATTATTTTCTTCATAAAGCTTGAATTTTTGTGGATTAGTTGAGGCCATTCACAAGAGTATACCAGAGTACACTGAAGAGGGAGGGATGTTTGGCCAGGGCTGTATAAAGATGGAAATGACAATGACCTCCACGTCTAAGCGACCTCTAGAACTAGTTGAGACAAACCACTGACCTACACAGCCACAAATAACTACACAGTGGCAAGGGTCACTGTATAACTTATGTACAGCTCTTGTACAACTTATGTACTGTACACAACTGTCAAGACAAAGAAAAGGACCAATACAGCTTATAGTTCTCAAGGGTCCAGCCACTAATGCATTACTTGCTAGGCTACTGCCTGGAGACCCTAGTTCCTACACATGGACTAGCACCAACAACATCAGATGTTACAGACTACCATCAGACACCATGAAATTATAGAATAGCACTAGATACACCAAGTACCACTGGCACCAGAAACACAAGGCACTTACAGAGAAAATATGTCTTCTAACCTTTATTACACTCACCAGCACAGGTTATAGGTGATAAGTGACTGCTTCAGTCAACCTCACTATTACGGAGCTCATCAACAGTGACACACCAATAACAACTATATTCTCTTCTTCAGTGTCTCCGAAGTTTGATTTGGCATAAAATCTTTATTAATTAAAAAAATGATAAGCTTCAAAGAAGACCAGAACTTTAAAACTGAACTTCATGTCACCAGAAAATAAATACTGAGGGCAAAACTTGAATTACTGAGGAGTGATGAGGAGGAAATGGGTTGAAGGATAATAGAGTTTATCCTGAGATGAGGCAAGTATACTTATGACAGTGGTGGCAGGCAGGCAAGGTGATGCTAGTATGGATATGGGATGAGGATTTGGATGAAAATATGAAAATGATGAAGGGATATGTAGGAAAGTCAAGGCATGAAACACAGTACAGTATATGTACTCAGTAAATTTTCGATGACTGAAGGGATCATATATTGATTAGATTACTGTACTGTACTGTATTACAAGTCAATACTGCACACTGTCTTTAAAAAAATATATCACGCTTTTTAGGAGACACTGAAAAATAATAAATTATTAATTTATATCTTAGAATCAGCAGTCACCTTATGGTATCTTGCAATAGCCTCATAAGATCTTAAATCTGACATCACTCATCAAACAGCCCTGCTGGGTATCAACCATGCCTGCTGTGAGGACACACCCCAGCACTGACTCCAACAACCAAGCTACAAAAACTTCCACTTACACTACAGCCCTCCAACAACCTACTGTTATTTTCTACTGTTACATCTACTTCCGTTGTCACAAACAGGAAATACTGAAAGTTAGTATTACAAGGCCACACTATGAATGATTAAAGACTAGTGTGAAGCTAAGATAGTTGAAGGCTAAAGTACTGTAAACCTAATAAAAGTTAGCTGAGAGAGTCTAGTTGACAACTATAGGCAGGTGAGGCTACACACGGGTCTGAGCCACAACAAGCAGCTCAGGGAACCATCATAACAGTAAGGTCATTCTCATATCATTTACAGTAGACCTGCAACCAACTCCAGCTTACTGGAGTTACGACAAATCCAAAATATATATCTGTATACTTAACACCTTGTGCCCATTATGGGTGTTCCCCATACTCACACAGAGATTAAGACTGAATTAGAAAATTTTATTTACAATACTGAACTTGACCATAAACAAGTCCCAATAGTTCATAGCATAAGTCATTATGATGGGGCTCTCACAGGTGCACAAATACTAGAAACAATCAAGTGAAGAAAAGGCATATGTGAATGTAGTGCTGTAGACAGTACTGAAAATGCCACCTGAAGCTTCCTCACTAACTGGTCCTTGATGTTCAATAAGGGAAAATGGAGAATATGTTTCACTTTCATGCTTCACATTTCTCTCTTATTAAAACAAGAAAAAGTCCTTGTATGTAAATTACAGGAAAGTTTGACTCAATTAAGAGCATTAATGCCACTTATTAGATATCACAGGTAATTTATTCATGTATGTATGTGTGTCGCTTATCTCATTTAATATTCCAGATGACATTACAACTTTTGGGGTAAACACCAAGGTTGGGGTAAACACCAAGGTTGGGGTAAACACCAAGGTTGGGGTAAACACCAAGGTTGGGGTAAACACCAAGGTTGGGGTAAACACCAAGGTTGGAGTAAACACCAAGGTTGGGGTAAACACCAAGGTTGGGGTAAACACCAAGGTTGGAGTAAACACCAAGGTTGGAGTAAACACCAAGGTTGGAGTAAACACCAAGGTTGGAGTAAACACCAAGGTTGGGGTAAACACCAAGGTTGGAGTAAACACCAAGGTTGGAGTAAACACCAAGGTTGGGGTAAACACCAAGGTTGGGGTAAACACCAAGGTTGGGGTAAACACCAAGGTTGGGGTAAACACCAAGGTTGGAGTAAACACCAAGGTTGGGGTAAACACCAAGGTTGGGGTAAACACCAAGGTTGGAGTAAACACCAAGGTTGGAGTAAACACCAAGGTTGGAGTAAACACCAGAGTGAGGTGAATGTTTTCCTCTGTTGTTATAATGGTTCCCTCGTATATTAGAGGATGTTTCTCTTACGTTTTTGCCTTGACGATTTGGTAATAAATTGGCTTTAATCTGAAAGAAATGATAAGGTAAATGAATTGGTGAATTTCATGTAAACTTTATGTGTGTCAATTGTGCAAGTGTGTAGAGTTTATGTCTCTTATATAGTGAAGACATAAGCATAGGTTTCAAAGACAGTATATATTATCTAACTACACAGCCTGGGTATGACACGCAGAAATTTAATACAGTACCACAAATAACAAATAAATCTTTGGAATGGTGGAGACGTAACCATCAGTCATTAACATAATCCTAGATCTAGAAAAACTCAACACATTGTAACTTTTAGAATGTCTGTAACAATTATCATAGAAGTTTCTGAAAATATATAATTAACAAAACAAATACCCTTATTAATTACCCGGTACTGTATACACGTTTTTCCTCTACTATTAAATAAAAAAGGAGAAGAATTAACACAGGATTCATTACTATAAATTTATCTCCAAGCACCTGGCATGAAATATTTCTCTCAAAATTAATAAATGACATTAACCACCAGGCACCATTAATGACCTTGGAACTAAC